GGCACTGTAGTGTCTGATTTTGATAGTTTAGCAAATTCTGCACTTAAGCTGTTTGCTTGTGTTTTCTAAAATAGTTAACTTTCTTGCCTAATTGTTAGGGAACAAAATTAAAGCTCGATATAGCGTTTTGTACGCGGTGGTTTGTTGTTGCTGACCAAGAGTTACCTCATTAAAAATTATACTTTCAGTATATGACTGATGGAATCCTTCTGAGAGAGTTACTGACAGATCCTTTGCTTTCAAAATATAGGTTAGTTCTTTAGTATTTCTGGGATCGGCTTAGGGAGAAAAGTATGCGTTTCAGTGTTATAATGATCGATGAGGCCCATGAACGGACTTGCAACTCTGATATTCTGCTTGGTCTGCTTCGAAAAGTGCTCATTGTTCGGCCTGATTTACGCATTGTAGTGTCATCAGCAACGCTCGATGCTGAGGTATGATGATTTTCAATGATTTTCAGTTAAGCTTATGTTTGTGGACCGAAGTTACCTTTCATTGATCTGTTGTGGTATTTTCAGCTTTTTCGAGATTTCTTTGAGCTGAATGAAAGCGATGACCATAATCTTGATACCTCGTGTATAATGTCGGTGGAAGGGCGAACGCATCCAGTTACGATATACCATACAAAGACGTAAGCATTTTTCTAGATGAACAGTACGACTTTGCATCCTATCGAAATAGTTCAAATTTGATGTTTCATCATCTGTTATCAGGGGTTCATACTTCATGATCTCTTTCTAGCAAAAGGGTTATATTTGGGTTAGAAGTTATCTCTCACATCCTCATACGGTAAAACACTTAACGTGCGGGGCCCGTTATTTACATATGTCGCAGGTGTATGCTGCTAGAAATTGTAGTCTATGACCGCTCATGATATTTATGAAGAGTGGTTGTGCCCTTTTTTTGCGCTGGGATGCGTAGAGGGCTCATTTGTTGTACTGTTTCTAGCCATTTGAGAAACCCCCATTAACCCCTGCAGGTGCAACAGTTTTGTGGTTATGCCTCAGTTTTGTACACATATTAGGTTAATTCCAGGTCAGTGCCGAATTATATCAAAGCCACGGTGGATACTGTGCTGGATATTCACAAAAATGAGATTCCAGGCGATATTCTTGTATTTCTTACGGGTCAAGAAGAGGTTATTCAGGTAAGATCTTTTTTTTTTCGAGTATGTATGAAAACACATAGATGTTCTTATGCAAACTAGACTGAAAACAAAGTGATTTTCGGCATGTACAGCTTTCGTTGCATAGCTACAGCCTTTCAGGTTCTGTGATAGGAGCCTTGAGAGCTGTGTCTTGAGTAAAGGAGCACTCGGATGTAAGCGAGCAATAAGAAATGTTGTACCTAATGAAGGAGTTCAGGGAAAAATTCAGGTTCCGTGAGCAATTTTCATTCCCTCCGAAGCTCCTGCCCCTCCTAGGCTCGGTCCTAGATGATGCCTCGTATCTTGTGATAGGGCCTGGGCTTACTTCTAAAAAACGCTTTGTCGAAATATAGAGCTTTCTTTCAAAGCGTTTTTACATACTATACAGGCACCTGCCTGGTAGATTGCCTGATTCGCAGAAGGGAAAGCTTTATGTTTCTTTGATTTACTTTTGCTCGTGTTTCTTTGTAGATACTTTTTACCTATTTCCTGTGCAGTATGTATCACATTTCTGATCTGTTTCGCTGAAGCCTACCGAACTGCTCGAAAGAGCGTTAGTATTATGATTCCGTTGATAGTCCTTTAAGTTTGTAGGTATTGCTCCATCAGTCATGTGCGCTCGAGCGTGGTGTGTCTATGCACATCCTACCATTTAGTTAAAAGTTTCACGATAAAATCTGGCCATCGAATCGTTGGCAAAGTCAACCATTCGTCCAGTCCATCTAGGTAGAGGCCGTATCCGTTGGTGGTCCCCCTAACTTGTGATGTTACGGGGTCGTATCAGGATCCTCTAAAAAGGGTAACTTTTCACGATCGGTCGATCGCGCCAGCATATCCTGTCCGGTGGTTATTGGGTTTCTGAGTACTGGTCATATCTCGTTCGCTCTACTATTTAACGTGCGGCAGATTCCAGATACTGTCTCATTCAAATCGTGAATGTGTATGTAATGCTTTACTTCTATCAAATATTGCTAAAATCGATCACTTGCGTTGAGTTCAAGGATGGAGTACATCAACATCGTGCGCTTGCACGTTATAGTTGGGGATAGGTGACGGACAGGGTAAGCATCTGTTGCGTGAAGTTCAAAGGGAGGGGAGGGGGGGGGGGGGGGATCATTAGTTGATTGTGAATGTCCTCGTAGGCAGCGAAGGGTCAAGACTCAACTGGGCGGTGGTCGAGTTCATCCTGCTAACTCCTTCTCCTGGAGAAGGAGCCGGTACACTCTGCCCTAGCAGGGTGAACCGTCCGTTGCGAATTGATCAACGGAGGGTCGTATTTAGTTTCAAAAAGATATGTGGCAATGAGTTTTCGAGAGGTCGCATTTTCATTTTTGCGTGTCTGTGATGACGACAGTGGGGGACATTTTTAAAAAATTTTCAGTGAAGCAGGAGCCATTTTGACGATTTTACTCGAACATACTTGATGAAATCTTTGTCAGGACGAAATGGACAAATTAGAGAATTACCGTTTTCCAAGACTACTTATCCCCGCGAGGTAAGAAACTGGCGGCAGAGGGACTGTACTTGAAGGAATGAGACATGGAGTGAGGTGATGGTTGGGAGCAGGGTCAACCGCTTGTTGCGCAAAGATCAACGAAGGGGTCGTATTTGGCCAAGTGAAGGGTTTTCGTAAGCTCAAGTGCCACTCAAGAAATATTGAAACGTACCAAGGCGCAGGGGCAAAGTGGCAAAGGAGGGAGAAGGCTTCCAATCACTACTGCGACTATTAATTACTTGTGATTGGATGGCGCATCCCAGAGGAGGGATCTCTCAAATCACTTCAAATTCCATTTAGCAACGTTCAAACAATTCCAAATTCTGAAGAAATTCGATGCTTCCGGAACAAATCAAAGTGAAGGGAAGTGCAACGAATTCTAGAATCTTGAATGGGAACTCTGGCAATAGAAATGTTTTCATTTCGGTGCTTTCCAAGAAAATCTAACATTGCCATGGTCATGTCTGAATGCCGTCTTAAGGGTTTTTTTTTTACGTTTCTACATTATACGAAGTTATACGACATATGGGCGTTTGAAGAAGGAACACTCCTCTTTCAGGAAAATCATCTGAAAAAAAAGCTATAGGGGAAAAATGGGACAACGGGAGGTTTTTTTTTTCAACGAGTGCTTTTTGGATGAAAACTTCGGCCACCTTTTCAGTTTCAGAAGCGTGCTAAATTGTGTAGTTCTATTAGCCTGAGAGATCTGCAAAATTTGAACCATGAAGGAAGTTGTGAAGTCTGAATGTTGAAGACTCGCGTGGGCTCAGAAAAAGAAACAACAGGACGATTTTTAGAAGAATTGAACATTGCAACAGTTTAAATACTTTCTGTGAAGGAAACAATTTGAGGTTCTGGGTTTCCGTATCGCATTTCATGGGAACGCAACTAAAGAAAGAACAAAGCTGAAATAAACTTTTGAGAAAGGATATCGTTTATCTATCATTATGTTATATTAGAGTACCGGAATATTTATGTGTTTTCCACCACGGAGTGGTCGGAACCACAATATTTTGCGACAGAGCATCCGGTGACTATGAAAACATATGTGTTTAATCGAATGCTCATTAGCACCTTCCCTTTTACCGACCCTTCTACAGTATGAGTGGAACCCTCGTTCGATTGATTGCAAGCTAGGATATTTTTGAGTCGAAAAAGAGAGGTAGGTCGGTTTTGACATCATCTGACAAATCATCCCTCTCCCTTGTAAAAAGTTAGGAGGCCTGGACAAAAGAAGTATACATTTAGTTAGAGTAGGGTCTGCACTGTTTGGTGGAAAATTTATTACTTACCAGCTCAACTGGACAATTTTTCCCGGAGTCTTTTTTGCCACATGGGGTCAAAAACGCACCCTTTTTGAGCACACGTGAGTAGCAGATGAGCACATTTATTAGAATTTCTTGTGTCAATCAACTTCGTTAAAGCGTCTGTGCATCATCGATCAGTCACTGCTAGGTGTCCTACCATTTCAGCACAAGACTGGTGCAGCCCCGTCTCGACTGATTTAACTAGGGCCACCTTTTTGACGACGATTGCGGGCATCACTTCAAAGACTTCACTGTCTTTTGAGAAAACTGTGAAAAACCGATGAGCATTTTAAATGGTAGTATTCCCTCCAACAAATGCAATGCTGGTTTGGTGGGCGGAGGTTACAGCTCTCAGCAAGAATTTTGAAGCATTTGGTACACACATGCGAATTGCACACTGGACCCAGGAATTTTCAAAAAAAAGTATAAAAATTGGGGGAAAGTTAAATTGTGAACCAACAATAGAAAACAATAAGCAACATATTTCGCAATATTAATGAGCAAAAACTGCCTTCTGAGATATTGATTTTCCATAGTAATCGGCCCCAAAACTTCCTGAACTCAGAAAAGCGACACTAAGATATCCGGTACCTAATACTTCGAAGGTATTACCTCGTATAATGTATTTTATTCATGACAAAAAAAGATAAAAGGGGAAGATTCAAAGGTTGAGAGGAAATTTCGGTAGTGGGCCTGAAAGTAGAGTTATACGAACGAATACCGAAGCTCAAGCGGAATGCTAGAAGTAATTCTTCTCAATAGGAAATTTCATTGCCGCGGTTTCCGTCCTCTGCAGGGGCCAGAAGCGCCACGTATCCTTTTTTCACTCTTTAAATTTCCTCTTTCCACTGTCGGTTTACGGCCTAATAACATCTGATTTGGTGTAAACCATGTAAAAATGACATAAATAACTGAGCAGAGGTCGTACTGATAAGACCTCCGGAAGAGAGGGGAGCCGTAAACACTTCTGAAATCTGCCCAACGCACGCTTGACTCTTGTTGGGGGTAGGAAGATCGCCGTACACTTCGATTAAGGACACCGTACACTCCATTTATTTCGGTATTGATATGTATGTACACTGTACACTTGTGTACACATTCAAGAACAGTGTACACCATGACATTTCACACGTTTAAGCCTAACGAGTCAGCCCCTAAGAGCACAGCAGAACACACACTCCGTCCCAAGCATTAATATAGCTAATCCATGAGGATGATATATAGAAACGATGACTAAAAAATGAAAATGAAAGGATTTCATTGCATGACTAATGTAAGTTTGCACACCGACAGGACCTCAAGATCAAAGGCAACGTTGCGAAAATTTTCAAAATTTTTAAGACGTCTCCTACCTTCACACGTGACGGAGGGGGAGGATTCATCTAACCAGGAAGGTCTTTCAGGGCGTGCCAAGCTTTTTGAAAACGGTCTTTTGCATGATATAGGGGCACATGCGGGAACCACAGAACCATGGTTAATTTTTCCTGAACGGCCCTCTGAATACCAGAAAAGGGGTCCCTAGTTCGATTCCTCGTGGTGACAAATTTTTGCATTTCGAGTTGACGTTTCAAAATTCGCGCAAAATGGAGTTAGCATGAATAATTAGTACCATATTCATGATTAGGACCGTCAGTAACCCTTACAAATAGACTTTGATTGAAAAACTGGTGAAAAAGGTGTGACACCACAGTGGCCCCACTTGGTGTCACACCTTTTTCACCAGTTTTTAATCAAAGTCTATTTGTAAGGGTTACTGACGGTCCTAATCATGAATATGGTAATTATTCATGCTAACTCCATTTTGCGCGAATTTTGAAACGTCAACTCGAAATGCAAAAATTTGTCACCACGAGGAATCGAACTAGGGACCCCTTTTCTGGTATTCAGAGGGCCGTTCAGGAAAAATTAACCATGGTTCTGTGGTTCCCGCATGTGCCCCTATATCATGCAAAAGACCGTTTTGAAAAAGCTTGGCACCTTAAATTTTTTGAAAATTTTCGCAACGTTGCCTTTGATCTTGAGGGTGGAAAACAGAGCTCACACCTGAAATGTCGACATTGTGAAAATGAATTGGAAATGTTTCAAATTATATTGTTGTCAGATCCAAATGGTCCATTCATTAACCCACGTCCTGTCTGTGTTCTAATTTAACATTAACCTTAATCCTTTCATTTCTATTTTTTGTCATCGTTTCTATGGAACTATTTGTAAATATCATCCTCATGGATTAACTACATTGGGGGATGAAAAAGGGAAGGGCGGAAGTGGTGTAGTGACAAGTGGCGCGCTTACCACGCGAGCGGTCCGGGGATCAAATCCTGGGTCGTGAGTCGCCCGGGCCAACCAAGCCTTCCATCCCTCCGGGGTCGGTTAATTGGTACCAGACTTGTCTGGGAGGATAAAAAAACACTGACTTGTACATCGGCTGGCCCCCGCAAGTCATTGTATAGGCCACATCGCATTCAAACGCCACTGCGAATGTACAAATGGAAGTAGAATGCGTGCCGCATCCCAAAAAGGGATTGAATCAACATGCTTTATCCTTTTTATCCTTTAATGCTTTGCGGACGGAGTGTGTGTTTGTGCTGTACTCTTTAGGGGCCGACTCGCAAGGCTCAAACGTGTGAAATGTCATGGTGTACACTGTTCTTGAATGTGTACACAAGTGTACAGTGTACATATCACCTACCTGAAAAACTGGAGTGTACGGTGTCCTTAACCGAAGTGTACGGTGAACTTTCCGCACAGTGAAGGTGTACACCATAGCAAAAAACGTCGGCAGCAGGATTGGATTAATATGCTTGTAATAGAATAGTTCACCTACTAATTAAGCAGTGTGGCTATTAAGGCAACATTCTTAGAATAGTATATTTCAATTCCGCGGATAGAACGGGTACGAAGTGAAAGGCACGGATATAACTATTTCTTCAGGTTTAAGCAGTCAAAGTATAGAGCGGTCAAGGTTTCGGTTGGGATGCGCCATGCATTCGACATTCCACAGGACAATTGGCTTCCAAGCATATATTTGGGCCAAAAAATTAGTAAGATAGGCAATGCTCAGCTCAAATTTTATTCTCCGGGACTCTACTGTAAATGACGTTAGCTAGCTTATTATCTGATTACCTGTGTGTATCTGTTGGGAAAATCCCATGCTAGCAAAATGTGTGGTTTCGTCTGTAGATGAACAAGCAGTGACTACTCAACTCTTCAGTCAAAAAAAGGAGGTTGAGCCGTAAAACCCTTCAATAAAGGCGTTCTAATCCTTGGCATCGTACGGGTAAAGTCAAGACAGTCACTCGGTCAAGTATAGCCAGGCGGGCCCAAGCCATAAGCGGCCAGGGCGGTGGGGGAGGGGGTAGGAAACTTGCTCAGAAGCAACAGTGTGTAGGGAACAACCGAGTCTGGGGAAGTCAATGCATTCGCAGCGGTGAGCGCAACATATGTGTCTGGTATATGTAGTGCAAGTCGTAAAGCCATCCACTCTTGCCACGCGCTTTTGAGTCAGGAGGGTGGCTATGTCCGCAGTCGCATGGTGCTATCTCGTTCAACAAAATTGTTTCAATAAACTTATCGCGGTAATGAACTGTTAGAGGCAGCGATTATGATATTTTCAGGAATGGTTTAGAGGAGACGTGATGGGTGCTACGCATGGACGTAGTGTTAGAAAAAGAGCGCAGAATTCGTCAAGAAAATGCAAAATGGGACCCCTCTTTTTGGCCGTTGGTTTCACTCATGAACAGGTGACAGCTCAGAAAGCGGGCGTATGAACGAGTTCAGCGCAACGCGTTTGGTAACACCATGCCAAACCACACTCCAATCGAGTTGCTCCAGTTGTGCCGCTGCTGGCAACGCAGCTCGTCCAAATCACCAACTAAACTAGTGGGCGGATCTTTTTCGGGGGCGGAGTGCTTTCGAAGTCCTGCTCAGCAACCAGCGCACCTTTCGTCGTGGAAGCGCTACACCTCGCTTCCCTGGCAGCCAAGTAACTGATTCGTGTGGTGCATATGCTTCCCCGATGCGCTCCCACTTTATCGTAATCGCTGCCTTTAAGGTTTCCATTGTTGTAGAAACTTTCGAGACCTTAATAGAGGCGATCGGGAGTGAAATAGTCAAAATTGGGGATATGCGTCATTTTACAAAGTACAACAGCTGGTGAGGGGCAAAGCTGCACGAGACGCAAGGAAATCGCCATAATGTATCAGGCTGGATTTTCGTCAGCTCTAGCAGTGTTACAGCTCAGGAGTAAAGTTAACCTTGATCTGAAACTGCTGGTATCAGTTCTTAACCACTTTTTTTCCAATTGTACATCGTTTCCTCAGGCTATTAAGCTCCTAACCGAGGTACTTTCTCGGGGGCAAAATGAATATCCAATACGTGAGTAGGCAAACGTGTCCGTAGTCATCGTTTTGGGGATAAAGAGGGAAGATCGAAAGTAAGAGTTGAGAGGTTCCTCAAGCCATCTACACACATCCACTCTTTTCAGCTGAAGCTTCTATTCTTATGGTATTCTTTTATCTCAAAATCTTCCAAATCGTTGAGTATGAGATGCAGTCTAAAGAAAGTGTTTCGGATCACGTTAAAATTAGAGTATGGTATACAAGAGAGATAATCTAGGGAATCATTAACGACCGCCTAGATTCAGGCTAGTTGGATGGAGTATTGCTCTACTAAAACCATCTATTAGCTCATAAAAGGGTAAAGACGCTATGTACTCAGGAAAATTCCGTGCTTAGTGTAGAATCTCGACAAAGTATTCAAATGCTAGGTAGGATTGTTCATGGTCCGGTATGAATTATCTCACTTTCCTCCAGGGCCTAACAAGGGAGGTCTTTCAGGACATGGAGCGTTTTTTTTTTGAAATGGTTTCTGCATGTTGTAGGGGCTCATGCGAGGAACACAGAACCATGATCCATTTTTCCTGAACGCCTCCAGGAATGTCAAAACAGTGGTGAAGAAATGGTCCAGAGTTCGATCCCCGGTGATGACTAATTTTTGCAATATAGTTTGGCGCCCCCAGATTGCCGCCAAATGGCGCCATCGTCGAGAATAGATGTCATTGTCGTGTTTTGCGGCAATTTGGAGGCGCCAACATAAATTGCAAAAATTTGTCATCACGGAGGATCGAACTTTGGACCATTTCTTCCCCGCTGTTTTGACATTCCTGGGGCGTTCAGGAAAAATGGACCATGGTTCTGTGTTCCTCACATGAGCCTCTACAACATTCAGAAAACCATTTCAAAGCGCTCCATGGCCTTGTAAGGGCCCAAAGGATCAGGTACGACCCAGAAGAGATCTGATAAGGTAGTCTACGTGCCATTCGTGGGCCAGCAGTACGGTTTTCTGCTGTCACACCTTTTTTTTTAGTGAACTACTGTTTCCATTTACAAGGTGTTCAGGTTTGCGAAATGCTATCAGATGCTTCTTCGAATCTGCGAAACGTTGATAAGTTATGGATTGTGCCCTGCTATGGTGCGTTACCGCCGCGAGAGCAGGTAACTGTTCAAATGCTCTATTAGTAGACTGGACCTTGTCCTGATGGTAATAATAATTGAATATCGTTTTAGTTAAAAGCATTTGATTCGACTCCACATGGCACTCGCAAGGTCGTGGTGGCCACTAATATTGCGGAAGCCTCGGTTACCATTCCAGGAGTAGCATACGGTATGAATTCCATGTACACTAGAATAAATTCTTGGAATTGTTAGGTGCTTAATAGCGTCTTTTGGAAGGCACGTGACTCAGCATGTTTTGACGTCACGAAAGGTAGTGAGGGTTTTGTAGGAAAGTTGAATGATGACAATGGCGAGTGGTTAATGGTGCTTGGCTTCTGTTTTTTTCTCGTTTTTTTTTCTTCTTCATTTCGACCAAAGATTTCTTCTTTTTGTTCTGAAGAATATATTTCTAGTTGTCGACTGTGGCTTTGTCAAATTGCGCGCGATGAATCCCGACAATGGCATTGAGACACTAATGCGGCTGCCAATATCAAAGTCATCAGCTGAACAGCGAGCTGGACGAGCTGGCAGAATACGCCCTGGCAAAGCATATCGACTATATCCAGGTAGGCATTCCTTTATTCCGCTTGGTCTTTTGTTCATGCTGACGAGAAAATTCGGTTTTCCTTTGTAAAAATACTTGATTTCCCTTCAGAATCGCAATACGAGAAGTTATGTGAGGGTACAATTCCCGAAATTCAACGTTGCCACCTTGCACCAGTAATTCTACAGCTGAAGGCTCTAGGAATTCAGAATGTCCACAAATTTCATTACCTATCCGTAAGTTACAGTTGAATAAAACTTCGAAAAAGCATAGCCAGCGTGGCTCGCGGAATGGGCGAGGAAAAGGGTGGTATTTGAGCTAAAAAGAGAGTGCTTGCATTGGAGGCGTTGACATTAAAACTTCATTTGGGGATTTTCTAGAGAATGTCTACGAACTGAAAAATTTCATCTTTCCGGCAGTTAT